CAACGACAGGTGAGATGAGATGGAGAGTGTGGAAGGGAGAGTGAGGGCCGCGCGCGATGAAGGCAAGTTAGACTTGCCAGTAGCGCGGTAAAGGTAAACGCGCTACGGATACTCCCATAGCAGCAGCGCGTTTTCCAGGCAGTGTTGCTACTATGCCTAGCTTGATGGCAACGGTGATGGCCAAAATAGTAGTAGCTCGTTTTCGTGTTGCCGCGCTACTATTATATTTGTAGCAGTAGCGCGGTTGGTAACAAAACGCTACTGTTAAGTATTAGTAGCGCCCGATTCTAACCCACGCTACTGCTAATCCTCTGTGTATAAGGTTTTTCCTAGTATTGGAAGGTGGAACCAACACAATGAAAGGGAATATAGTGGGGTGGTTGAACCCATCAGCTGCAAATCTAGCCACACTTGATCAATCAAATGGATGAGAGAACTGGTTGATGCACTAACGATTTTAAGAAAAAAAATGCTAACATGGTGTAGTGACGTGCAGTGGCGGAGACAGGGGGACCAGCAGGGGCCCTGCCCCCTGACATTGGGAATTTGCTGCTAATTCACTGATGAACAATGCATAATTAGCAATATTTTGATGCTAGAAGAATATTTTGGCCCCCCTGATTCACATTTCCTGGCTCCGCCACTGGTGACGTGGAAGCTTACATGTCAAGATAATTGGTGGTAGTGGGGATGGTGATGTGGATATGCTGCATGTAAAGAGAAATAGGATAGTGAGAATGAACTATTTAGGTACTATAAATAATCCAATGTAGCATCTAGGCTTGCGTATGTGCTCTTTTATTTTCTTGATGTCTAGAAGTTTGAGCATGACGGGAAGTTGGGTGTTCTCAGGATCATAACCTTCATACAATGGAGTTATGGCATTTATTTTCAGTTGCACCAGCTTGAGGGCCTCTTTAATAGCAATTCTATCGTTACTCATCTCCTTTCGAAGCATATTTTAACAAAAAGCATATAAAAGTGATACATAATAGCATTTAACAATAAACAATCATAGATACGTTGGTGACGTATCATATGCCCAGGCATAAATTCTTTTGCTGACTAATGCTTGATAACAGAACCAATACATGTGATTAACTGATCATGATTTTTTTGAACTTGAGAACACACAACATGCCCTTTGCCATGATTACGACGTGGAAGATATAATACATCTATTCTTCAGTTGCCCATTCAGTCAAGGAATCTGGTGGATTATATTTTATGATCATTGATGCCAGGAAGAGATACCAATAGGGACGTTTTCATGGAAATCCTTATTGTTGGGTGCTGGTCCATATGAAACCAAAGGAATGTCAAGATATTTGAGAATAAACAATGCTCCATTGATGCTTGCAAGCAAGATTTTAGAAACACCTTTCACCTCCCCATGATTAGGGCTAAGCCTAATATCAAGGAAGGTATGTTATCATGGTTTGATAGTGTGTAAATAGGCTTTTGTTTACTTCTTTTACACTGACTAGCATGTAAACTTCCATTGACTTCATGTACAACTCCCCCATTTTATTTTCTATAAATGAAAAGGATCACAATTTTCCCTATGTCATTGGGTAGCGATCTAACACAGGCCTCACTATGTAGTATAAAGAAATGTTTCTAGAATTTAAAGAATATTCAAAAATTTAATAGTCACATTTTTTTAGAAATTAAAAGTATTTACAAATCTTAAAAAGTATTGATCCCTCCGACGTAAATTTGTTTTTTTGGAGAATCTTCCGATCTAAATTAGCTGACGCTGAAAATTTGGACCGGAGGGAGTAATAGATTCAAAAAATGTGCAGAAATTATATTAAAATTTATTGATTTTGAAATATCAAAGATGTTCATCAAGTTAAAAAGTTCGGAAATTCTAGAGAAGCTAACAGAATTTTTAAAAATGTTCAAGAGTTTTAATAATTTTTGTGAATTTGTGGGAAATTTCGAAAATTTGGCAAATACTCATAATTTGTTTTTCAAATGATGGTGGTGATTTTTATAAAGTGTCGCTTGTAGAAACGCCAAGAAAGAAAAAAAAAGAACAAGGAAAACTCCCGGGCGGTGGCGGCGGGAAGAAAAGGAAAAATGAACGGGAAAAAGCAAAATGTTAAGGAAGTGAAAGATAGAAGAGAAACTGGAATAAAAACCGTTGACTTCAAATGTTTTGTTTTTTTTCGATTGAGGGAAGCAACTCTTAATTAGGAGGATGGAAACTCTGAATTAGGAAGGAAAGGATTTCCCAAGGATCCGCGGGCTGAAAGTGGCCTGTCTTTTTTGTGGGCCGGTGCGGGTGAGAGTGAGACATAATTCGTATAAGAAGAGAGAGTGAGACTGATATGAGATGAGTATCTTCCCCAGCGCGGCCATTTGGTAGAAACCCTAAGCTTGAGCTTGGCCGGGAGAGAGCGGCGGCGGCGGCGGCGGCGACGGCGTGAAGAGCGATGGGGCGTGGCCGCGGGGGGAAGCATCAAAAGAGTAGTAAGAGAGCGAACCGACCATCCTCCTCGATGGGTCCGTCGGAAGGGGATTCATCTCCGGCGGAGGCGGCGCAAGGGGGTCCATCTCCATCTCCAGCGGGTCCGGGGGGCTCCGGCGGCGGCGGCGGTTTCTCTTGGTCCGGATCGGCCTCCAACTTGGGCGGCTGTTGTTCGGGGTCCACCTCCGCCTCCGCCCCCGCCTCCGTCTCCAGGGCCTTCTTCTCGTTCGTCTCTGCTGCGTCCGGCGGCTTCTCGTCCGGGTTTGCGTTCGTCTCCGGCGGCTTCTCCTGCTCGTGGTCTGCCTCCGCGGGCCAGAGGCGGATCGAAGCAGCCCCCGACTGTTCCCGCCGCTAGTGCTACCAGGGGTTTGTCTATTGATGTGAGTAAGGACAAGGCAGCGACCGAGGCGGGATACAGGGAACTGGTCAGCAGGCAAAAAAAGTTGCATGAGTCGACGGCTGCCAGGGAGATGGAGCTCGTTGAGAAGGAGATGTCAGAACTGAAATGCACTGGTGCTGAGGAAGAAGAGATGGAGGAGGAGGAGCGTCAGGAGGATGACAAGGCCAGAGAGCTCAAGCTCGCCGTGGAGCAGGAGAAAAAGAAAACCAGTGAGCACGAGATTCAGGAGGTATGTGAGGAGATGATGTCGTCGACTGATGAGGAGGACGAGGATGAGATGGGCGGAGGCGAATGGAGCTCCCTCATCTCCAAGCAGCACATCAGGAAACTCTGTGGGGAATTGCAGGCAACCTTGTCTTACTTGAGAATTGACATCGAACCAGCAGCCCCGTTGGGTGAGGCGCCGCCGTCGACAATCCACACCATCTTAGAGCTGTTTAAAGTTTTGCGCCGCCAAATGTCAAAGCTTAGACGGCAGCTGCTTCCTTTCAAAGAAAGGTATGAGGAGCAGCTGGCCAGGAGGGATTCCTACGAGGGGTTGACTGAGGAAGAGAAGGCTAGGAAGAAAATGGAGAAGGAGAAGAACTTCTTTGATAGCTACCGTGAAGGGACCGAGTTCTCTTCCCGCCGCGTTTCCTTCGAGCAGCAAAGTAACTTCACGCTAAACACCATAATATGCAACTAGTTAATAAGAGTGCTGGTTCTTTGCTAAATTAGTAATAGCTTTGCAGCAACGTATTATGCAATCAACACTTCAATTTGATTGATCTGTTAACTAATTGTGCAGCCACATTGAGCTCCATGTTCTTCACGCACTGCACACCAGGAAGGCCCTTGCCCTACTATGCTGAGACAGAAGGGATCAGCCTGCAGGTTTACTCTTTCAAGATTGCTGAGATCAGCAGCAACCTGCACTGGCCGCTTGAGTTGTACGGCGTCGTCGCCGCGCGAGACAACTCGGACCGCAAGCACAACATCATCTTCAGTCGCCCGAGGCACGACTGCCAGAAGCTCACCTCAGCTGTATGTGCCCGCTTCCATATTCTTTTTTTCAGTCTTTCTATTTTGTTTGGTTTCCTTACTGTTGCATGTGCCTTACTCCATAGTCCATACCCAGTTTTCTCAAAATAATCAAACATGACAGCATGCATGTTGGTTCATACCCAGTTTTCTTAAAATAGCCAAATCGTGGTAGCAAGCATGTTGGGACAGAAAACATCACATTTTCAACCTTTTCCTGCTTCTAGTACCCATGGCAGGAAGCTTACTCTTGCTTCTAGTTCCCATTGCAGGGCTATCTGATGGTGCTGTTATTGCCTTTTCTTTTTGTTGGCGTTGAGGCAGTTTTACTTGCAGCAGTTTTAACTTGGGCAGAACCGGTCTTTGACCTACCAAAAATATAAACAGATTTAATCAGAATGTGAATACATTACGGCAACTAATTTGTTTTTTAGATTGTACCTAACAGACTTGGATGATGATGTTGCACTAGTACCATCAGCATTCTTCTTTGATCCCTTAACATTTTCCTGCATGAACATATAGACATGTTTCCTCATAAAAAAGTGTAAAGATAAAGAAGAGGTAATCTGAAATGAAACTAAATGATGCAAAACTATGATAGTAATCTTACATAGATGGGCATGGAAGAGGAAGCGCAGTTTGATTACCCTCAGTTGCTTCAGGTGTAGCTATAGTGGTCTTCTTTTTTCCTTCTACATGAACGTTATCAGCATTTATCTATCAAAAAAAAAACAGAAGTAAAGATGCTCCAAGTATAAAAGAAATTACCTTTCCTTCGCCACATGAGCCTATGCTTCTTTAGCTTTAGGATCAGCTTTACAATTTATCCATCTATATGTCCATAGACTTTGCAGATTGGCACTGGTGTTGTCCTCTTTTTCTCTTAATCATGTTCTCAACACCACTCTTGTGTTTCAGTACCTTTTGCCTACCGACAGATCTTTTAAGTATTGGAGGATACAAAAAGAAGTCATGGGTATTTTTTGGCCATTGTGACCTGTCTGGAAGGGCAGGAAGAATTGGAGCATATGCAAGGGCAAACTTGGCAACACTATAGCGAGAATTAACATAATCTTGTAGCGAAATCCCCCTAATATGGCTGACAAAGCAGATTGCTTGTTTACATGGCTTCCCCGAGACCTGCCATTCTCTGCATATGCATGTATTTTTCTCTAGATTAACAATGTGGCATTTTCCATCTGGTCCACTCTCAGTCACCTCTGCCTCCATGTCAGATGGTCTTTCAAGTTCAAAGTCAAATCCTCTACTATTGGCATGCAATTCCTTCATGACACTTGGTAGTATTTTGCGACCATTTAACTTTCTAGCAATTTTTCTCCTCCTGGCATGCATCACTATTATCTTTCTCCTGATCTTATCCATCATTTCAAATAGCAGACTTTGTGCTTTTGGATCCAGTTATTAACGCACCCGGCTAAATTATTTGTAACATAGTCCACTTTGCATGAGGTGGAGAACTTGCTCTTGGACCAAAGCCTCTTGTGATATTTCTCCAAGTATCTTATCGCTTGCGTCTTTGCTTGGGTCACCGCCATATGCGTGCGGTGGGGTGGGCTTAGGCGATTGACGAGGAACCATTTGGTTTTCTCTATTCGTGGGGCAAAACTGGGTGTTTTTCTTTTCTTTATTTTGGCATGAAAGGGGAGTAGTCTTTTTAGGATAGGTAGGGGCAGTTTTGGAAATTACCCAAAATATTGACATGCCAAAAAGGTGTAACGGCAGTCCATTAACGGAAGGATAACGGAGATGACATATTGTCCATAAACTTCATTTGTGTTGTGGCATATAAGTGAGACATGTTTGTTTGATTGTGTATCAGCAATTGACTTGCTTGTTGATGGCAAATAAGCATTTTTCTCCTTCTTACAAATGTATAACGATGATGTTGTTGTTGTTGCTTGCAGGACCCCTTCTTGCGCTTGACTGGTCCGTCTCGGGCGATTATGGCACTGAGCCCAGTTGACTTTGAAGTCCAGCTAAAGCTTAAGGGTGCGACGGAGTCGGCGGACAGGGAGTTGATGAATCGCCGAGATCATTACGTCGGTAGTACTATTGACAGTGAAGACGGTACTGATACTGAAGATGGTATAGATACTCTTACCTTCTGCAACTGCCTTATCACAGCTGAACTGAGAGTGGAGGAACTACATAGTTGCGTTCAAGCCACCTTTTTGGGTGTGCGTGTCGTCGGAGGAGGTCCATGGCCTTTTGAATACGGAGGCCGGATTGCTTGCTCCTCACCAGCTCATGAGGTTGTGTGCGTGGATCTGGACGGCATTGCAGAGGTTGTGGATGATTCATCACGCTTCCAAGTTGTGCTGCTCGATTCTCATGACTGTCGTCTAACAAACAGAAAGGATCCTCGTGGCTGTGTGCGTGGGGAAATGCCAATCGGCAAAGCTGGTTACCTTGATCTCACAAGACGCGTTGTTTCTGTTGAAGTGCGGAAAGAGAATCGCCGGCAATACAGAGATAGCTTGAAAGTTTTTCTTCAATCATACTCAGAGTCTGGTGGTATTGCTGCGCAATCCCATGTCAAGATCAGGCCCAAGATATGCAACATAAGTCGGCACAGTTGCGACCTTGGTGGCTCTACGGTGGAGATTACCATTGCTTGGTCGGCCATTGTCAGGACAGACCTTTGTTAGGACTGATCTGATTTAGCATCATGTTGGATGGTGCTCTGGTGGCCTGAATGTTATGGAGTAGGATAGGTACATCTATGTATCTATGTTTTGCCAGTGGCTGTTTGTTTGTTGAAGTAATCATCTGCTGTATCGGTCAGCTATGTAAGATATGTGCCAGCTACTATTTGTGTGTGAAACAACTATGTAGTAGGATGCCCAGCTATCTGTGTGTGGAACTTGTGATCTACTCTAGAAGTAAGATGCTGAACTATGTGTGTATCGACTTTAAAGTATGAGTCAAGTCTAGAAGTATTTCTACATTCATCTCTGCTACATTATGTGCTTTGCCTCCGGTCGCATTATGCAATGTGCCTGATTGTTGTTTGTTAATATGACATGTTGTGTACTCCCTCTGTAAACAAATATAAGAGCGTTTAGATCACTACTTTAGTTATCTAAACGCTCTTATATTTCTTTACGGAGGGAGTATATAGGATGACGCTTGTTTTATCTCAAGTTAAACCATAACTGCAAACTGCCCAGTCACCAGCAGAAGTATGGTTTCTGAGCTCAGTTTTTACTCATGACATGGCATCAGCTGCTCATAGTATGCAGGCATGTGAGCTTGTTCATGAACCAATGTTCTGTCCCTGTTTAACTTGTGATTAGCACAAGTGACTATCACACTGATCAAAACTAAATCTTGCCATCTTGGTCAGATCAGATGGACAAACTACTCGACATGCTTCTTAGTATACTGAAATCTGTCTCTGTCCCATAATACGACATGCTATTCATCTTCAGGAAACACAAAACTTGTCAAGGTTTCAACCTGGCTTGGCTGCTCTGGGTACAGGGGTAGCTTAGCTCCTGGCCTTATTACTAATCAACTGTTTATTCACGTGCTGTTGGAATCCAATCCCCACTGAGTAACTGCTAGACCATACCCTTTCTACAAATGCTGAAACAAAATAGTTATCTATCCCTGTTTCAGAGTTATAAGGGAATTGACACCATATTCCTGTCAAGGCATGCGCTTGCTTCTTAACATCACACTGCACCAAAACATAAACCACGGAGTATAAGATTGTATGTCACACTACTCAAGGGCAAAGTTATTTCCAGATTCAAAAACATGTATCAAATGATGTATCATCAATGGCAGATGCTTTCCAACGTAACGCGTTAATATGTGCACCTGCATCGCATCTTGAATACTGGTTCTTAGAGCCTTGTTGTCTAACCCGTTCATCCAGGATTTTGCTTTGCTTGAGAGTTGCCGCACTGAGTGTAAGTAGATTAAATGCAATGGATAATCGAAATGAATGGCTCAACTATGAAATTAACTTCAAACAATTGTGCTTCCATTTTTAGCTACTAAAATATTGCTCATGTACTTCCATATTAGCATTCTATTGCATTATTTAACCTTTTGGTCAGAAAAAGAAAAAAAATGCATCTTCGTTATTTTGTTCAATGCTTCTTTGTTTCGTTTCAGCTTCATCATGCTGCTTCAGGAATAGGTACCTTCAATCTCACAGTTTGATCATACACTTTCCTCCCTTTTATTAAATCATTGCCACTATTTCTTCTTCTTCAGATGTCACCTTTCATAGTAAAAGCATAAAACCACCACTATTGCAGCATCATTAGTAGAAAACCACCGCTTTTCTTTTTGGGGGCAAAAACCAGTGATAATTTTTCAAAGAAAAGCACCAATGACTCGTTGAGTGCTCTTTGATGGCGTTTCTGACTGGTGGGGCCCGCCCGTCAAGTTGAGTTGGCAAAAAAATAAAAACCATGCATGCGTGTCGACTTAGTGATGGAGTGGCGAATCTCGGGTAGGGCATCCCAAGCTGGGAGCCTAGGTACGATGGTAACAAGAGATGTGAGGTTTTACCTAGGTTTAGTCTCTCTCGAAGAGATAATACGCTACGTCCTGCTTTTGATTGTATTGATTGCGGGTAGAGTGCAATGTATAGGTTTGTCTACCACGAGATAGTCTATGAGCCTCTACGTGCCCTACTCCCTAATTTATATAGGTACCGGGGGGAAGGGGGGGGGGGTCTAGGGTTACAGATTTGTTGGCTACATGTTTGGTAGATCGTGTTGTAGTAAACATCTAAGTCTACGCGCCAAATCTTCAGGAACCTTCCTTATACACGTCATGGGTCTTTTGGGTGAGGCCCATCAGTAAATCACCATGGGGGTCCTCGGCCCGGCCCACCTGGTTGGGAGACGATGTGGTGAGTATCCTCATGGTCCAGGACAACATCAATAGCCCCGGGGACACTCGTCGGTTATTCTGAACTGTTCTTCGCCTTCAGCCATCGGTCCTGAAAGCTGATTCAACAAATCTTCCCATCTTTGATCTCGAGGATCACAGAGGTGTATCCGAAGAGTTCATACGTCAGGCATCCGAGATGCTCCTTCCGGGTTCCCATAGCCTTTATCAGATGCTACATTATTTTCATGTCACACCTCAGGTAAAAGTTTCTACCGCGCGACTATGCCTTAGCCTTGAAGTGTTCCCGCGCTAAGGCCGAGCTGACAGTCCAGTCGTGCTCTGACAGAACTAACCGGCCCTACCCATCTTCCCACACAATAGTGGTGTACCGTCATTTCAACTGTCATCATATCATATGAGCGTCAGGCCCCACTATTGTCACGTCATATTAGTAAAGGATATCGTACCGCGATATATGTGGTAGTTTAATCAACCACCCCCTCGATTCTCGTGCATGATGTCTGGGAAACTGGCAAAATTGCTGCCATGCGGGGCGATTATCCCGCAGCCGCTTCGCATTCTAATTGGCTCTATAAAAGGCCAAGGGGCGCGTGTGCGCGCGAGAGATAGAGGTTTAGACTCTCAATCTCTCAAGCCCTCATCTTCTTCCTCGAGCTCCTGTGCCCGCGAGCTTTCTAGTGTCCGAATATGAAAGCTTCTAATTCTTCCTCCATTTCATCCACCAGCTTGCATGGCTGGCATGCAGACTCAAGCGACAAAGATCGCCAAAGTCCGCAAGAAGGCCACGAGGGAGGCATTGACGGCCTCCCAAACTAAAGGGCGACGGAAGGGCACCATAGTGATGGAGGAGAAGATCGTTCAACTCTCCAAATCCGGGTACCTGCTGGCGCCGGAGGCCACTCCAGCCCGGTGTGTTCTAACCAAGGGTGGACTTAGTACCTCAACCCCGTTCCAGCGAGCGGGTAATCTTCATTCATCATCTCTTCGTGACCTCTGCTTTCCCATCCATCCTTTCCTTTGACGCCTTCTTTATTTTTAAGGCCTTCATTTCCATCACCTAGCTCCGAACTCCATCCTCCACATCTGGTGCTTCATCACTTTCTACAAGGCCTTCCTCTGCTGCGAGCCAAATGTCGAAATTTGGTGTAAATATTTCATTGTTAAGCTTCAGTATAATGGCCTCGAGATATGCGAGTGTGGAGGCACCATGATCAATGAGATTCAAGGTGCAGAATGGCTGGAGGTGGAGTTTATGGACATAGTGAAGAACTAGCAAGAAGAATGGTTCTACATGAGGGATGTGCCGCTAATCAATCCTACTCGGGCAGGGGTAACTTTGCCTTCAATGCGGACCCATCTGCCAGGCTCCTATCTTGGAATCCGAAGAATATTATCTGGTCGAATTCCGAGGAGGTGGGTGAGCTCATGGATTGGGTGGCCTTCTTTTAGGGTCACATGATATATCTCGTCATGGCGATGCATGTGGCCCTAAACCGCGACATCCAACCTCTCCAGGCCCAAGCTCATCCCATGCGTGCTTATACCAAGGAAAATGATGACACCTTCACCATTCGCGGGGGCTTCTACGAAGGCAGGACCAAGCGGGGGATGCTTTCCTTCCTGTTCAAGGGGAAGGCTGCAGATTTTCCCGAGGATAACACAAACCCAGTTTCCTGGCTTGCGCCCTCCCAGAGGAGGTATCTTTCACTAATTCTTCTTATCCATCAAAAGTCGGATAAACCAAGGAGCCAAAACGTTAAGTCTCCTAACCCTATCTATTAGTATATTATTAAGACGATAGAGAAAGAACAGTGGAGATTCATTGCTCTAGAATTAAGATATTTAAATGGTCTAGATTTATCACCGTATACACACCCACGTGGCTAGATGCCAGAAGCAGTCAACCAGGCTAAATATACCTATAGAATTCTTCCATGTCCCATGAGCTACACCTTCCCCCTGCTATAGTAACACGAGTGGCGATTCAGGCGATTTGTCGGCGACTGGTATCATGCCACTTACCCCATCCTTTCTCTAATTTCTGTGGCTTTCCTTTCCTGGCGTTTCTCAGTTCCTCGTTCCTCCTCTCAATCTCACTTCTATCCAGTTCCTTCCATACCTAGTTTCTTCATATTTCTATTCTTTTTCTCTGAAGTATCCAACTCCTTGCTGGCGATAATGGCTCGTCCTGAGAGGGAGAGATGATTTGCGGAGGCGATTCGGCAGCTACACTGGAGAGAGTGATGAGATTTGCGGTGCCATATCCACTGGGCTCAAGGGCCATCCAGGAGGCTGGTTTGATATGTTGCGCACTCCAATTTGGAGTGGTCTAGCCTGCGGGAGAAGGTCGTCCATGTTCTTTGTTCCTCGAGGAATCCAGGTGCATGCGTGAAGGGGAGGAAGCGGAGGGCGAGCAGTCTACTATAGGGGGAGGTTGGGCGAGATGTGTGGGGCAGTGGAGATCAAAGATGTGCCAGAATTGCTGCAAGGGGTGAAGATGATAAGAGAAGAGAAGGAATTGAAGGAGTGGGATGAATTGAATGGAGAATATGATATGGCTATGACGCCGGCTGCAGACATGCGGGTGCATGCGTCAGACGAGAAGACCCAAGAGCCGGTGCTAAGGATCGCCAGGTCCGAGCCCCTAGGCGAGGTAGCGCCCAAGTTGATGTCTGCCCCGGTTGAGGAGATTAAGGGGTTGGAAAAAAATCTGAGAAAGGTGGGTGAGATCATTTATGTTCTTCAAAGCAGAGCGCTTCAGAGAATATTACAA